AACCAGTTAGCCTGTATGGTAATCAAACAAAATTATTAGTTCTATATTTTTTATTTACAACGAAGTTACACAAAATTGTTTGATGAGTCAAGCCATTCACGATCATATCTTCATTTATCACAAGTCATCATCCCCTGGAAAATATACTCCTATCCCTGCTACGATGTCTTCGGTATGAAGTTCTTCTTGAACTTGAATCCTGGGAAAATCGTCATCACGTCTGCGACGCTCTTTATGTGAAGGAGACACTCTTGGAGAAGGTGATCGAACATTCCTCTTTCTTTTTATCTAAAATTCGATGAACCAGTGCTCGATCATTCTCTCATAAGTTTACATGAGCACACATATAAGCCCTATGGATCACCGCTATTCAGGAATTCGGATGAAATTAGAATTGCAATCAATAATCAAGATGTTATACTATATATTGCCGAGAGCTTCATTTACATAGAAGGTAAATTCACCCCCAAAGACGTAGCGAAAACATGCTATCTCTCGAATAAAATTATAGTTTCGGGCCACGGGAACCACTTTTTGAAAAGACTTCATTTAGATTTACAGACTTTATTGTACAGAAGTTACTCTAACAATCGTACTAACAGAACTGACTCTTCCTTCAAGATAGGTAGCTTTTATAAGTTTATTATAACTTAGTCAGCATTTGATAAATAAGCATAAAGGAGGGTTTTATATTCATAACTTGCAATTGCATTTATCTTTGATGAAATTCGTTACAAAAAGGGTGGTGAACAAGTGGCTGTTGTTAAAAAACCCGGGATAACATCTACAATGAAAACCATGATATCATTTGGACAATCACATGCTAACACATTATTGACATCTGGCTGGGGACTTTCACAATTGAAACAAGATATCTTGGATATAAACAGTTATGTATTCAGTGGAAAACTACCACTGAAATATTTGATGGGTTTGGCAGAAGATTACAACAAAAGTATCTTGAATGCTAAACAGGAATTGATTTTGATTATCGCTCGATCATTCAAAAACTCATATATAGGTGAGGTTGATGCAAATTTGGAAATGAATAAAATCAAATGGAAAATAGGACATATTGTACCAGATGATAAACACAAGCTCAAACTTCTGAGTAGAATAAACAAAAGCGGTCTGAATGCCAAAATCAAGTTGACTTATCGTATGTGAACTATGAACTACCATCATTACGTGGGACTTCTTCAGACATATGGGCCATCAAAACAACTATCGCTCAGGAAATTCCTCGTTTTGTAATCATCGCATTCCAAAGTACTACCACATCTGAAAATAGAACACAGGATATTGCAAAATTCACAACTGCCGATTTCAATAGTATTCGAGTATACTTGAATTCTGAAGTTTATCCATATGAGCGTTAGAATTTGAATTTCGATAAAAAACTTGATGCTCCTGCTTATTATGCTTTTGAGAGTCTCCAGCGAAGTTATTATGATAAAAATATGAGTGAACCTCTGATGGACATTGGACAATTTAGAGAGAATCCACTATTCGTCATCGATTGTTCCCATCAACCGAATGCAACAAAATCATCAACTATTGATATAAAGATTGAGTTTGAGACGAGAAAGACCAAGTTTCCATAAAACACTAAAGTATATACATTAATTTTGCATGATACAGTTTTAACATACACTGTATTGGATGGTTCAGTTCACAGCAAATATTGACACTTTTCAAATCATTGATTGATCATTTCATTTTTCCACTCTATCATGTACTGTTTTATGATCTTTTTTTATTTGTAACTGATGTATATAATGGGATTTAAATAAATAACACACGAAAATAATACAAAGTTTTTTATTTGACATTATTTATGATTTACAGGAACATACAGACTATCTAAAATAACTTCTTCCTCATAGTCATCATTCTCGCGACCATCTTTAATTTCCTATCGATTTCCATCATTCAATTCAAAGTGATGAATAATCCATTCTGGTAAGTATGGTTGGAGACTATTCAGGAATCTTCTCAGGTTCAGTTCAATCATAACCTCACAAAGTTATCACAATTTCAATTCATTATCCAAAAATTTGTTACAAACTTCTGCACCACTCCGATAGTTCTCAGCATCATGAAGATATAATTCGATTTGTTTTTCATCATAGCATACACTCATATCATAAATGCTTGCATGTTCGGCTCCATCACCCAATACCTTCAATTCAGACGACAAATGTTGAACTGATGATTTGAGATCTACAACATCGATCCAATCTTGACTTGCATACTGCATCCACATCTTTGAATGGTGGAACTGAAATCGTATAAAAAAACAATAAGCAACCTCCAACTTATTTCCATGATATAATACTCACATTCCCATTTTACTTGTACTTATAAAGTGAGTGTATTCAACTGAGTTAGTAATGTTTATATTTCCATATAATTATCATCTAAATCATCTAATATATGAATATTATTGAAACAAAAATAAATTCCACTAGTTCGGACTTCCATTGTCTATTATATAAAATGATTTGAAATCCCTGAAACCAGTCATCACCCGAAGACGATTGTAGATACCAACAATCGAAACGTCGTGAACTAACGTGACTTGGAATCTCTACACTTTTTTATTTTTATTATTTTCTTTTTGCATTCCTTTAATTTTTATTTATTCAATTATTATATTTTTACTTGTAGGTTATTTTACTATCATTTCATTTCAGGTTTATTGTTGCTTAATATAATTGTTATTTTCAACTATTCTTTTTTAATTATTCTTTTTTACTTGTTTCAGGGATTTCAAATCATTTTATATAATAGACAATGGAAGTCCGAACTAGTGAAATTCATCACGAAACATTGTCAATCACCTTCAAACAAAAAATAAATTCACTATAAATAATTACTATTATTATTCAATCATATTGAATTTGACTAGAGATCGCGTTTTCATGCCAGCAAAACTTTGTGGGCTCTGACCTAAATATGTCATCGTATATTTACCACCCGAAGAGTTGATACAAGTTATATCGTCATCACTGAATTGCAACGAAATACGTGAAAGGTTCGCATTGCTAGTTGCTACCCACTAGAGATGCCTGACGTCACAGCCAAGCCCACCTCCCAGCTAGATGTGTTAACAGATATCGATACGAACAAACAGTGGTTGTTGCGCTCTCTTAGAGGGCAAACGTTAACACACTCCTCATCACCTGCGCGTCATCATCGACAGCGAGGCTAGAGCGATGCGTTACGTCATAGCCATCGTCTCATCGAGAGGTAAGGACACACCGATGAATACGCATTACTCAGCCACACGCCGTGGAGTGAACATCTCGCTCTCCTAGCTTTGAACGGTTGCTGCTGTGACGTCACACCACTATTATCTTGGTGGGCACATCGATTGAACATTCATTACTTGGTGGATCTTTGAAGTATGCAGACGTATGTTTGTACATAGACAAGCACATGATGAAACCCTGTACCGTGCATTCTCTCTCTCTCTCTCTCTCTCACACACACACACACACACACTCACACACACACACACACATCAACCAAATGTCATTATGTCATTTGTCACACACATACACACACCAAATCTCATATGAAAAAAAAAATCAACGATCCATGCACCAGACACTTCAAGGTCACATCGCTTTGACTTTACTAAACAACAAAAAAGCAATTAATACGTCATAGTGGTGGGGGGAGGCTCAGAAACGGCTGTAATCTGCTACTGATATCAAAGCTTCACTTATTGAAATGAGTTTTCGTTCATAAGATACTCCTAACCATCTACGTCGTTCACGATATCTCATTAAATGTTCAAATTGCTGTCCATCGTTCCTCAAACACATATTCGCTCTCGCCATAGTATTTGTATTTCAATTTGTTGAGTTTATAGCCATGCAATCCCTTATTTTTTCTTTCAATTCGTCAATATTGCCAAAAGTTAAGTCAAATATCTTGTCCCTAATGAAGCCCCACAATGAAAAGTTCGGAATGGTCAGGTCAAATGGATGTGGTGGCCATCCAATAGGACCATTGTTTTTGATCCATCGTTCTGCAAATAGTTCTGGGATGTGGCGGAGCTCCATTATTTTGGAACTCAGAATGTTCAAAGGAAAATCTTCCAAAAACACAACTAGAGTGTGCAACAAGAATTTCAAATATAATTTCCACTTCAAAGATGTATCAAAAAAGTAGGGACCTATAATCGTGATTTCCAGCACACCAAGCTAGCCAAACTTTGACTCCAAATCTCTCTTGGAAATTTGTAGCTCTGTGTAGGAAGGAATTTTCTTGTCGCCAGTGATAATAAATATATTTCTTGAACCATCTTATCACACCATAAAATGAATGTTATTACAGATTTAAATATCCTGACAATGATTTCTGAGTGGCCATCTAAACTCGTAAAATATTTTTCTCCTATCATAGTCCGTTAAACACAAATGGTGGGTTTCCTAAGGTCTAAATTTATTTCTTTTCAGAATTTTTCGAACTGACGTAGTGGATACTGTGATGTGCAATATTTCTCAATGATACTACTTTGTTCTCAATTTTTCAGTATTCCACAAATCAACACTTTATTATTACTGAGGATTTCTTCGAAACTTACGCAAAACGTCTATTTCAGTATCGCTACTTCTTTTAGTCACTGTTCAATTCTTATTTGAGGGTTTTTCAAATGAAGCATGATTCCGTAAACTCCTCTCTATGCGTTGAAAATATCTCCCCATACAAAGCTAGAGATCCAGTAGCATTTCTCAATCATCTCGCGTATACGAAAAGCGTATCAACTTTCTCGTCAATAGAAAAATCCATGATTTTCCCCTCACAAATTACCACGAATCGAATGATTAAATACTTACTTGACAGTAAATTTGACAATCATGCATATTTAAATAATGTTTCATTCAAATTGAGTTGACACGTTTTCAGTATAACAGGGTCATCTTGAATTTTTTCTATTGGATCTTTAGTACAGCGACATAGAATATTCATTCAACTCTCATTTCCAGCCTTGGCTCTACAATCCATTTTCACCATTCGGTGTAGTAGTCGACAAAAATTGGGCAAACGATCCATTTTTAGAAGACCACCCTTATATTTTATTGAAGAATGGATATGTTCAAGATTTGCCCTGGATTACCTCATACGTGTCTTCCGAAGGTCTCTATCCAGGTTCAGGTAAATATAATTATATTATATGTATGTATCGAAATGTATCAAATTTTCGGTTGATCACGAAGAGTTTACTATTTCATCGGTTAAATAAAACTAGATGGAAATAATTTTGAAAATTTTCATTCGTTTTCAATTTTTGAGATCACTTTTCTGAAATTGAAATAAAAAAACACTACATACCTACTTGCAACATAGATTTGGATAACAGAAAGTCGATATGTCTGTTTTTATATACAATTAATTGTCATCAACATTTACAATCGACCATCGTATTGTCGAATATCTTCCTGGCATTTTGCTAACACACTTGGCTAGTTTCTTCAGGAGTGCTTTTACCTCAAATGTTGATAGCGGACTGTTGTATCCTCGATCGGAGTGCTCTTATCTACGTAGTACCATCGGAAGTGTAGGCGTCATGAGATTCCTTTGATTTGATGCGTTTCTCTAATACCAACTATTAAGTTCAATTGAAAACCAACTTTAAAGGAGAATATCCACACTTAGTAATATTTTCATCCCAACAGATGGCTGAGCTAACTCATTGTACACATCAAAAAGGGACCCTACGATCCCTGAATCTTAACTCGACACACAACACCCGAATTTACCAACTTCTCGTCTCCAGCTGTCGCTCCCGGAAGATATATTTTTAGCCGCACTGAACTAGTGAATGAGGTGACTCCACCTAGAGACTCTCGTTTGTTGAGTGATGCCACCCTAGAGCTTCCGACGTAAAAGATTTTCACAGGCCACATCCCAGACTCATACTGCAAATGGCTGTAGAGTTTCTTCGCTTGTTTTTGTCACGTGGCGGACTGCAGGGATGTGGATAACAACAAAGTAAAATATCTTCATTAAAACAAATATCATTCTGGAATTCAGGAACTGATGGGGTTCTGAAAAGGGCCGAGACGTTGGAGTTATTCTTGAATAAGAACGTTTTTTGGTTTTACAAATTTTTTTGTATAGCATTTGTTGTTCCTATATAAAGCTGGCTGTAGATATCCCGGAAAGCTTTTGAATGATATGCCAATCGAAATCAGTCTCCTTTGTTTATAAATTCAGCAACTTTCAAACTAATTGTATCTTATTGTGGCAAACAGTAATTGTTGAAAACGAGTTAATATTAAATACATTTATAAAATAGTATACGTTATCTGTTCCACTGCTGAATAGCTGATAATAATTGTCATTGGAATCGACGAGGGGGGTTGAGGGGGCCTCGCGGGCGTGACCCGTGAATGCGTGGAGCAGAAATACTCAAATCGTAAATCTGACGCTACGAATATTCTTAGGAATGCTTTCTCATAATAACATCGACTATCCATTAAAAATAATCGAGAATTAAGGTTTTTTTACAATTATTCCATTGTCATATTATAACAGGAGATTAATTCTATAGAGGAGTTGAGTTACTAGCGCCGAGGGATGTCACAGTCGGCTAGTGCGGAAGGCGATAGAAATTCACAAACACGCGAATAATTTCAATAGGAAAGACGACATACACACACACAATATGGAAGAAACTCAATCCCCGTAAGAAAGAAAATATCACCACAGATCCCCTCTCTACCACCATCATAACCTACTGCATTACCACCGCAACTTTCCTCACCATCTCGTTAAGAGCATGAAAAATATCCTATAAATGAAACAACAGTTCGCTTTCAACATTTGAGATGAAAACAGTAAGTCGGTACCATAATAGATATTGATATAATTTTCGTTTCATTATCGGGAACAGAATTAATTCAATGGTTGTTACATCAGACGAATACTGTCCATATTATGGAACGCCGTTTTAGTTTTTATTGTCACAAATATTCATTCTTCAATTTATTCAACTAACAATTTATTTGTTTGAATTCAATTGATTCATGCATTTGTTCGACACATTAAAAACGATTGTTCGCAAAATTTGTTCTATTTTAAAAGACACTTGATTTAAAATGTTACATGAATAAAATTGTTATTTGAATAAAAAAGACTAATGAAATAACTTGAAGCTTTTATTGATTCCGAAGAAAAATATTGTTTCAGAGTATTGGAAAATGGAACGCCAATTTACTATATATTATGCTGAAAAATAATCTATATACATATAGTTCAACTCAGCAATGAACAAACATTTTTATTCAACAATCAATGGAATGTATTATTCGAGTAAATTCAACAAACGTTTCAATTCCGCATATAATTTTGACCTTTGAATAAAATGTTAGTTATTTATATGACTGTTGAATTATAATGAAACTTTAAATTCACTTTCTAAAAGTAAGTTTTGGAATAAAATTTCAATGAATATATTTGAATGACTGTCAAAGATTTCCCATGAAACATTGTTGGTAATAAAAATAGACTTTCGTTTGTCTGAAAATATTAACTTTCCATACTAAATATTTTTTTATGAATAATAAAGATTGTTATATTTCAATTTTATTGAAAGTGTTGAATATTTCCAACATTCACTTTAATGCATTCAATTTAAAATTTGGTTACAACTTTTGTGCAAAACATTCTCAAGCAAGTATCATTTTATTTCATCAATCTTTTGAAAAAGCTAATTTCTGAGAAAGAATTAAATTTTTTGATGATTTAAAAAGTTTGTTGTATTTGAAAGATACATTTAAAAGATTGTTGATAATTTTAATTCGGCGCTGGTATCGAGCGGATTTATCAAGAACCTTAAGTATTACATATGGCAACATGCTAGTTCGTTTATAGTACGACAAAATGCCGTTTAACCGTGGCGCCGAATGAAAATTATCAACAATCAATTTAATTCATATATCACTGAAATTCAACAAACAAAATAATTCAGATCATTTCAAAGGAATATTAATAAAGAGAAAAACGGCGTGGTACGCTGTTTTACTTTCTATTGGTATTTTGTAAAAATGAATTGTTTTGACTGTTGCATTCAGGTGATACATGAATTAAATTGATTGTTGATCATTTTTATTCGTCGCTGCGGTCGAACGGATTATTACCGTACTATGACCAACGCCATACATATGTGCAGTTGAGTAGTTCCATAAAAATACGTCCGACGTCAGCGCCGAATAAAAATTATCAACAATCAATTTAATTCATGTATCACTGAAATTCAACAAACAAAATAATTCAGATCATTCCAAAGGAATATTTAAAAAAAAGTAAAACGGCGTGGCACGCCGTTTTACTTTCTATTGGTATTTTGAAAAAATGAATTGTTTTGATTGTTGCTTTTAGGTGATGTATGAATTAAATTGATTGTTGATATTTTTTATTAGGCACTGCGGTCGGACGGAATATTGTGTTACTATCACTAGACTGTCATGTTGCCAGATTTAAAAATTCATCTTCTGCAAGAATCCGTTCGACGCTAGCGCCGAATTAAAATTATCAACAATCGTTTTAATTCATGTAACTATTTATCAACAAACAATTTTATTCATGTTTCACAGAAATTGTAGTAAATTATTCGATAGTTACAAAAAAAGTATATATGACAAACATTTACTTCCAAAAATTTCAAACAATGAATCTATATTATAACTGTTCGCAACTTTTCATCAAACAAATTAATTCATGTAACATTTTAAATCAAGTGTCATTTAAAATAGAACAAAATTTGCAAACAATCGTTTTTAATGTGTCGAACAAATGCATGAATCAATTAATGTCAAACAAATAAATTGTTAGTTGAATAAATTGAGGAATGAATATTTGTGACAATAAAAAGTAAAACGGCGTTCCATACCTTGTCCTGTCCTACTGTTTTTTCATTTTAGCATTCATTTCACATTTCACCTCACAGATATATAGTGCTCTCGTTTTAGACATCAATATCATAAAATAAGCTTTCAAACTCGATTTTGAAGTGCTGGGTATTACACAAACAATATTTTCATTTGACAAAATGTGTTCATTTAGTTACCATTTTATGTGTTTCGGGACAGGGTTGTAGTACTTTCGTGATGGTTTTTCATTAAAAAACACCCTCGCTTTTATTTTTTAGACTATTTCAAAAACCATAAGAAGTCATTTCAGAAAAAATATAAAATTTCACTATTATGAAAACGAAACGGAACTTGATATGCACCTTTTTTTTCAACATCAGAATATATACATCGTTACAAATTGGATGTCAATTCTTAAATATACCATGAAAACGAGCTTCAAAATTGTCATTTTGTAAAATTGGAAAAGTGGTGGACTTCTCTTGAAGAAGGTGGACTTCAACTTGAAGTTGATCCTATTTATTCATGCATGGGTTTGTTAATGTTTGAACAAATTTAACTGAAATCAAAAGAGGTGTGAATCGTTACTGTCTTCAGAAGACTTACTATTGTCAAATGTGGTTGATTACTTCGTTAACAGGCACTTAGGGTGATGACAAAATTGTTGCCTGTCGTTCATTTCAGCCTAATTCAAGGAATGATACTCTGAAGGAGTTTGATTTTCAATTATCGGAGATCATCAAATTTATGTTGATGATATACTACCTTGCACTGACGAGTGGCCAAACAGCCCCAAACCGGTCTGCAAGTGTGTTCCAATAATTGAAAATCGATTGAAGCAGTTGTATCGCCAACAGCATGTGCAGGAATAATTTCAGTGATGAATCCTGCACTAATACCTGTCGAATATAATCCAACACCTTTCGTGGTATTAGCCAGGACAGTAGTTGTTTTCTGATAGGTGTCAGTCGATTAACGTAAAGTGTAGGTAATTTGGGACTGACCTGAACGAATTGTTCTTTTAGATATTTGATTTAAAGCCAGTCTTCAAGTATGCCCACTCAATATGTGAAATAAATATAATTCACGTTAACTTAACATCAACACAAATATTATATCAATAAATAAATGAACAATGAGCCACAATGCGAGAAGAATATCTAACACCAAATACTTTCAAAATGTCAGGAGAAAGTGTCTTGCAGAAATTGAAATATTTTTTTGACTATATACAGTGTGACCCAATTTTAAATAATTGTTAAGAAAATTTCTATTGTTTAAATATTCCCCTTGGGCCCATAAACAATATTCCAGGCGTCTTGCTTCGTTTTTTTCTTGAAGTGTGTGTAAAAATTTTGGCTTGAAAGGTTTAATATTCTTCGCCTTGAGACATCTCCGAATAGTTTCTCGTGGAATATTCAAATCTAAAGTGGCATTCCTTATACTGGCATTAGGATTATTTCCGAAATAATCTAAAATGATTTAATCATTTCTGTCATTCCTGTTTCGTCTTTGTACAGGATTACTTTTTAACATCATTTTTGATACTGCACCAGTTTCATTGAATATTTTATTTATTTTATTTACCGTATCGCAGCTAATACGAGGACGATCTGGATGTCTCTCATTAAATACTCTACAAACCTCTCTAGCACTTCTAACGTCATCTCCCGAAAGGCGTACAATTTCAATTTTCTCTCTTACGCTCAATCTTGCAGCCATGACACAAAATAATTCTAAGAACTGTAAGGTGAATATTGTTGACAATAGTACACTTAAATCTTTCACAAGTGTCAAATTGTAATATCATTTCCATGGCAACTAAGATTTAAATTGAAATATTAGGTCTTAGTTTTAGTTAATTTGCGTGAAAACTTGAATGCAATTCCGTTATTTTCATTAAAAATATTTACGCTATTTGTTTTTTTTCATCTGGCGGCACTTTATTGTTGAAATCATAAAAAATATTCTCATGGCTATATCTGTTTGATATAGGGTGTTTTTCAATAAAAAAATCGCTAATAAAAAATCCCGATTTTCGACTAAGAAAAAATATCGTAGTATGCCCTGAAACTTTAATAAACATTTCAAATTTTGTCCCAAGGTAGACCTTTTAGTACTTGACATTTCAAAAAAAAATATTAAAATCGGTTTACAACTTCAAATTTTAGGGGGGTGTTTCCATTAAAAATGGGTCACACTGTATATTTCCCTGATAGATGACGGAAAGTTACTATACCAGTTTATTGCAATGGATATGGGGTTCATCTGAAGTGAGCCATTTTATGTGGAGGAATATCCCAATACCTACATGATATTGAAGCTGATGAGAGAGTAGGTCATAAAAAAGTAAACCTTCAAATTTCCAAAATGATCTAGAGTGGTTTGCAATTGTTTAGCTAAATAATATTAAGCAAATTGTGTTGCAGACTCTATGAATATGACATAACTTCGCTAGCTGATTGAATACCAATCATGCACGAATCACTGCTGAATTGTCTCCTAATGAGAGGTTTTCTTGAAATAGATTTCGATTTAAGTTTGTTGCATTGACACCAAGCACTAATATTGTATTAATTTTTCTGCTAACTCTGCTTCGTGTGGCACCAGGACAGAACCTTGGGTTCATGATTCCACCTAGCTCAATAAATTATTTGAAAAAACTAGGTCCGCTAATTACACGAAATTCAGAAGAAAAAGTGTCGGATGCTTTTGATAAATCTAAAATGTATTACAACCAATTTGTTCGAATCAGCCTGATTCGATTTACTTGGTTGGTTATTACATTAATAAAAATAATGTTCTGATACACGTAGTTAAAAATTCGATTACTTTTAACATTCTCAGGCAATTAAGGAGCAAAGCAAATAAATTTGCCTGTACATATTTGCCTTTATTTTGTTGCCTATTTTGTGTAGGAAAAATATAAGAGCACCTTTCAATAACACCTTCAAATTAATCAAGAATATTAATGGACTCGATAATAAGGTCAATAATTTTTTTTGCAATAACTATTGAAATGTCATCTCTACTTATGAGTTTCAATTTGCCGTCGGTCCTAGAGTGTTCAGATTTTCCACTTCCGTGAAAGGGGATTTGTCTTTCTCAAAAATTAACCTCTTTCAAAAATAGCCCATTTTAATTTTGAAAATATGTTTGATATTTCTTGTGCATCTTTAATTTCTTCATTTAATTCATTCCTAAGAGTGATAGTATGTTTCCAGGTCTTCTTTTTCTATTTCCCAACTCATTGTTTAGTATTTCCCAAATTTATTGGTTTTGTTATTGTAATTCCTTATATATTCGAGTGGTAATAGTGACTTTTTTTAAATTTCGAATTTGGGGCACTTCATTTTTTCTTTATAAATCTGCATAGCCTAAGGGTCTACACTGCAGCTAGTAAAAATTAACCACAATGTTTCTCTAAAAACTTTGCACTCTATTATGAATTCATTTGAAATCAAAGGTTTTGAGCTTCCTGGGAGAGTATGGATTATAAAAAATTTCTTGTATCATGAAATCTCCTGAAGTTGATTAGTTTTTCAAGTGGTGACTGACTCGATAGAACTGTGTTTTGATTTCTGATACATTCAACTGGAAGAGCCGTGGGTAAAGATTTTTGTGATGGCTTGGAACTGTTAACAAACTTCTGTTATTTTAACTAATGAGGGATGTGTTGGGTTGGTTTGCCGAGTGTAAAATTATTCGTGGTGTTTGCAGCTGAATCATTATCATTATTCTTTATTTTTTAAGGATAAATCACAAGCCATACATGAAAATCCTTAAGGCAATCCTAGAGGGTCCTGTGCGATAGGAATGATTCACATTGGATTTGAATATACATACATATTCTTTGTAGTTCCACAGATTCAGAATTTTATCATGTTCGATTAAATTGGTGAACTTTTTTAATTTAAACAAATGCTTGTTTCGAAGTATCATTGTGGTCGGCCGTTTTCAGTAGAATTGAAATTTGAATGCGAAATCAACGAATATTATTAACATTTGGGAGTACCTACCAATTCACATAAAAATCGAGTAGGTTATATTTACTAAACTGAATTTGTTTTTAGAAAAATGTACCAATCCGATATAAAAACTAATATTGTAAGCTAGATTACCAATTAAAATGCCCAATAAATAAGTGTATAATATGTGCAGATAAAAATATTTCAAAATGTTATACAAACAAATATTTACAGGATAACGAAATCTTATAAATGACAATTCTGGAATACCATAAATAGTTTTCCAATTCCTATCAACTTTTCTCCTTGAAGTAAAATACATTTTTTGGGAAAGAAAGTTTTTGGCTTTTTACTTCCCCATCTTTATATGAAAAAATATGGGAATATTCCAGAAAAAAAAATAAAGCAATTAATTTAAAAATTTATTATTTACAAAGATGTGTAGATCAAGCAAAAAAGTAACTTTCAGACACAAAGTGGAAGAAAAAGCCCTCTCGAAACAACTTCTTTCATATAAACATTGAATTACATGAAAGAAAAATACTTTTGAAACAACTACTTTTATATGAACATTGAATTATACCCAATTATACCTAATCGGTTTGTACAATGTAAACATTCGTTATGAAATTGAATCAGATATCATCAGAGGATTGCTTCACAATATTGAACACTCGTATGAAAGAGAAAAAAATTTCACTTACATGTAACACTGTCATCCTCAATGGCAGACATCAATGTTTGGTAATAAGACATTTGCCTTATTAACTCTTCAGCACCAATCTGGTTACCATTACATGATAAAGCACTCATATTAAACTTTATAAATGTTTTAGATTTCTATTCTGAAGAACACATGGAATATTTGAATCAAAACTGGAATGAAATTATTCCATACATATTACACTATGATGATGTTGTACCCAGCAATTTGAAAGACAGTATCACTGAAAAGATCAAATCTGAATATTTGCAGAGTGGTAATGTTACAAAGGATTCCTTTCACATGTTGGTTCAGGTGAGTGCACTGTTAATGAAGCTTATAAGTTTCATTCTCCAATTCAGTATTTTCTTTAATTTATATGTACTTAGAGGAAGAAGATATCGAAAAAAAAATTCAGACGGAGAATATATACAGGCTGATTCACGGTGAACCAGACCCCGGATCACTTTGAAAATTCAGTAAAGAGCATATTCGGATATTCTCTACCCAGCTAAAATATTTTCGAAAATGCGGTATTGCCACTTCCATTAGAAAGTAGTAGCAACTTTGGAACAAATTGAATACCTTGTATATAGTCTAATCAACAAGTTCAAAAACATGAAAAATAGAGATAAAGGTCCTAAAAATATGAGCGATAGCTCATTCGATTTTGGTGCAGGTAAAAAATTGCAATTGTTATAAACAAAATAATATTAAAAAAATGGTATTTAGTTTTTCGTTAATAACTCAAAACTATCAATATTTAAGCAATTTGGAAAAAGCTCGTTAAAGAGGAGGAAATTTCCGATAAAAAAGTCCCGACTCCCGAAACTCTATTTCCATTATTTATAATTTTAATTTGACGTTGAAAATAGGGTTCGGCGCGGCTGGTACGTCATGCGCGCGTTGCCGCTAAAGAGGGTTTATCAAAAGAAATAATTTTTTTATAACATATAATGTCATTTTGAAAATTTGAAAAAATCTAGTATCTTCTTAACACTTGAATGAATCGAGTCCCGTAGAAAAAAAAAGTTTCATCAGCATTTTTCAAAAAGTTATTCAATTGTTAACTAACACATTTTTTCCCAATCTCCGTTGGCATAAATAATGGGATAAAAGGTATAAATAAATGTCATTTTAAAAATCTGAAAAAAATCTAGTACTTTCTTAACACTTGAATGAATCGAGTCCCGTAGAAAAAAAAAGTTTAATCACCATTTTTCAAAAAGTTATTCAATTGTTAACTAACACATTTTTTCCCAATCTCTGTTGGCATAAATATTGGGATAAAAAGTATGAATAATTGGCCTATAAATTTTGAACTTCGTGGAGCCCTTTTGATATATATACTTCATACGATCCTGCGATAAAAGTTCATAAAAATTTATTAATTTGTTAATTATGATTTAAATAATTAGTTAAGAAATAATTTTGCTTTTAAAAATCATAATTTACACTTTTAAATAGTTTGGAAAAAAAGTATTTATTATTTGCGATATAAGTCGTTGATATACAATAAAAAGAGGGTTGGAGACACCAGCGTTGATGGTGTCTCCAGTATTTGAGAGATATCCATCGACGAACGCTTGCAAGGAACGTTCTTTCAGGAAGCTGGAGAGAGCCATACACGAGAATGATCCCAGCCATAGCATTGAAGTTTGGCCAGCAAACCCCTATGCCACACACGCCCCCCGTGTGTGGCATGGGGACATGTACAACAGATTTCGATTTGCATATTTACTTAACCGATTTATGCCCAGAGGTTCGTTAATTTATGTCGCACTTGTCGCTACAAGTTGAGAGGAAATATTTAAGTTTTTGTTCAGTCATCATTCCAACTTTCGTTTGAATTGTTCAATTTTGTTCTGCAGTGAGCCAGTAAGAAGTGATATATAGGTGAAATGGGTTCATTGCAATTTTGAAAACATGAGTCACAAATTATATTGGTGAGTAAGCAGTAATCTTTTTAGTCATTCATTTTAAGTGATGATTAGGAACTTAGATACCCAATTCACTGAAATCAAGTGAAATGAATGAAGATTTACGTTGATAACCTGAAAATTGAAATATTATTTACATGGGTCGTTATCGACCCCTTGGGCAAATTTTAGTATGTTTTATATGTTAATTCAGAAAAAACCGCTCACTACAGCTGAACTGTTGGAAGAAATAGAGAAGCTAGATGATGATGCCGAGCTGCCCAGCGATATTATCATTACATCTCCTGAAGATAACGGATTTGATACAGATGCTGATTCCGGTGATGAGGATTGTAATGATCCTGACAAATTAAATAGTCATCAGTTAGACGCGGAAGCAGAAACAAATATAACCAATGTCCACGAAACAGAAGACATAGAATTTGATGAACAAGAGGTAAAGGGTGTTGATTTGGCAGCAATAACACAAAGAAAAAGAAAAAATTCAATCAGAATAGGCTTTGGACCCCCAATACAGATCTTGAGAAAGGAACTACAAATATATCTGATAACATATCATGTCTGCCTCCAATTTATCTGTCCGAAAACAGTGAGCCTGTAGAATATTTTAAGTTATTTCTGAATACAAACGTTATGAAGCAAATCGTAAAACATAATGTTTTATATGCTTCTCAGAAAAATCACCAGTTAGAACTTGGCACTGACGAAATGTATGCATTTCTTGCAATATTATTCCTGAATGGTTGTATGCCAGATCCTCGGAGGAGAATGTTCTGGGAAACACGTGAAGATGCACATAATATTCTTGCAGCGACTTCCATGAGGATAACAATAATCTGGTCCAAGGCGATGAAGTAGCAAAGCTCCAACCTCTCATGAATAAACTGAATTGAATATGTTTACAATATCACCCCATCCAAATAGCCGTTTCGATTGACGAGTCAATGATCCCTCATTTTGGAAGAAATGGATAAAGGGAAAGCCTATTTATTTTGGGTTTTAGCATCTCCTTGTGACTATTGTATCAATTTTGATATATACCAGGGAATAAGAAAAGACACTTAAGTTTCAGAAATAGGATTAGGTGAATCCGTGGTTTTGCAGTTTTCCGATATATTGAAAAATTATTATGAAAACTTATCATTTTCTTTATTCTTTGATAACTTTTTCACAAATGCCACTTTGATATCCAAATTAGGAAGAATTGGATTTGATGGTATAGGTACAGTAAGAGTAAGAGAAAGAGAAAGAGGAGCTTATAATTTTGTTTCGGACAGGAAGACTAATATAATTTCCGTACAGTGGAACGGCAATAGTGTAGTTACTCTCATGTCCAATGAATTTGGTGTTACACCACTTCAAACAGCAAAAAGATATTCTGTACAACAAAAAGCTCAAACTGATGTACTTCAATCATAACTGATATCTCAATATAATAAATTCCTAGGTAAAAAGTGGTAGGTATATACGTATTCTCTATTGGATGTTTGACGTTTCTATGAACAATGCTTGGGTGATTTCAATAAAATTGAGATGCAAGCATGATAACTTGACCTTCAGAAGACAGGTTGTTTTATCCTTACTGAAAAAGTATGGTCAACCCCCACGATTTCCAGGACCGTCAAGATCATCATTGATACCACAAAGCCTTCGCTCATCCGGTAAGCATCTCATAAAATGCGCACAAAAAATAAGGAGATGTGCGTTATGTCAAAGCAAAACAAATAAATCTTGTGATCGATGCAATATTCCCTTGCATGATAAATGTTTTCGGAATATCATAAATAATAACCCCTCTGTTAGTTTCACAAAATAAATAAGAGAAATTACTGAATTTTTCATATTTCATTACATTTATTAGCCTCAATTTTTTCATGTTATTTAATGCCCAAATGAATATACACAGAAATATTGAAAGGTTTTCAACAAAAAATTATTCTGGGCATGTACGGGTTAATAAAGAAGATTACATTTCATTTGGGGACCCCCAGAGCTCATCAGATCTATAGCTCAAAGTCAAACCATAAAGGTTTCATTAAAAATAATAAAAGGATCACACTTTACATTGGTTTCTCTTCATGGTGATATAATTTTAATACTAATTGACATTCGTTTCAATATTTCAATCGACATCATTTACTATAATTTTATTATGGTTCGTTGACCTGTTCTTTTCGAAACTTCACTAAGATATACCGTATGACACAGACTTATGGTACACCCACTTTTTCTCCTTTATTTCTCTGGCGATATTTCTGAAACTTGGAACATTGAATATGCTCACTAGATGGCACTTTTTGACATATTTGTCAAAGAAATTCAACTTCCAGTTTTTACGGAAATGACAACAACTTTTGATTTTCAAATCCTATAAATTACCACAAGAACGATTAGGGAAGATCATAAGGAATCCAACAATACCAGGTTTGATGGTGTTATCTCTAATGATTACGGAGATATCGCCATTTATTTTATACATAGGCTCAATGAGTAGGACAGAGAAACTTTTTCTTGAGGGTCCATCCTACTCTCTCTCCCACTCATTGAATTTATGGATAAAATAAATGGTGATATCTCCATAGTCATTAGAGATAACACCATCAAACCTGGTATTGTTGGATTCCTCATGATCTTCCCTAACCGTTCTTGTGATAATATATAGGATATCCCGTTCGAAAATCAAAAGTTGTTGTCGTTTCCGTAAAAGCCGGAAGTTGAATTTGTTCGACAAATATGTCAAAAAGTGCCGTTTAGTGAGCATATTCAATGTTTCAAGTTTCAGAAATATCGCTAGAGAAATAATGGAGAAAAAGTGGGTGTACCATAAGTCTGTGTCACACGGTATATAACAACAAATATTGAAATGTGTTTTGTACTGATAGCACAAAATCTTGCCATTTTAAAAAAAGCTCATTCATTCCCAATCACTTAATACGTATACCAATACATTATTTTTTGTTCCAGATGCTGAGTGATCGACTATTTATTGCTGATATAGAAAAATCCGGTCGCTTACATTCCGCTGCAGTGAAATCATCGGTTTATAGTTACTATTTTGATTACCGTGGGTCCCATAGTAAATCAGAATTTAGAACACATAACGATGTAAATTTAGGTAAATGAGGGTTGAAATGTAAATAACAATACTAGAAAATTACACTTGATATGAATTGATAAACCAAAAAAGAAATATCAGAGGAACAAAGACGATTGAACAGCACTTATCCACTCAGTTGTTGGATCATTGTAACGCTATGAAGAAACACATAGTGAATATATAATGGAAGAAAACAAATGTGAATTAGCTTGTCAGTGATCATCTTAGCAACTTTTATTGCTTTACTATTGTGTAGGTACCAACGGAATGTAGAGGGATTTTTGTGACAAAACCTGCATAATTCCCCAGACTGCAGTTTATCAAATCAAATCAAAATATACTTTATTGTCCGAAGATTTGCATCTTATTGACGAAGTCCAAGAAATACAATGTTGATATAAAAAAAGTTCTAAAAAAGTATAAATGTAAATATAAAAAAATTCCAAAAATGAATAAATGTAAATATAAAAAAAAGTTCTAAAAATGTATAGATAAAATATCACCATGTATAAAGTGATAGTACAAGGAATAAATTGGTAATTTATTGCTAGTATATTGTTATAAGGATTCGCTAAAATACTCTTCCAAACTATAATAGGGTCTATCAACAAGTAGGTTCTTCACCGCCTTTTTGAAATGAACGTTGCTTAGATTTGCAGATCTCATTTCTAATGGTGAATGATTGAATTACCACCAGTATAGAATATGGAATCCTTGATTAAATTCGAAGTTGGGATGGGAAATCTAAAGGTATAAGCTATTACGAGTAGCATAAGGAGTAGAAGCAAAGTTGAACA